AGCCCAATTCACTTGGTGGCATTTCTACACGAGTCTTTAGGAGCGACATATGAAGACTACTGTGCACCTCAAAAGGACAGAGTTGATTTCATATTCTTCTTTTTGGCCTGGAAATTAGAAACTGAGAACTGATGTAGAGGTAATTCAATCATAAAATTCTAAAAATTCAGATGGAAAATCTGCTATTTCATTACCTTTTGATGGATTAAAATATTAATCCTGAATCAGATTTTCTGGCATTCCCCAAGGGGAAAGGAATCTAACTCTTCTCAAAAGAAGAAGTGAAGGAAATGGAAGATTCCAGAAACTCATAGCATTCAAGAAAGGAACCGAAGAAATCCCAGGAGCTGGTCTTTAATTCGAATTTTAGCTTGCAGTGGAGACAGCAGAGCTAGTCTTATCAAAAGAAACACAACCTTAAGTTTTTGCCAAGTTACATGTGTGAAAGAAAGAACAGGAAAAGCTAGATTTCCATCGCATATGAAGTCGGTTAGTAATCCATGGACAAAAAGTTCTGTTCTTTTACCGAGGGAGAAATTTCTGCCATCTCATGGTCGTAGAGCACACTCTAGGAATTGGGACAAATGTTCAGTTGCTTCAGAAGTTTGTTCCAGTATGGAATAGAGCCCACCAAGAAACTCTCATCTTCAAATCTCTTAATTCTTTTCAGCCATAGAAAATATTTAAGATTATTACTTTCATTGTAATAAACTTTTTAATAGGTTTTGAAATTTCTGGCATTTTAAAAATCATAGAATGTATATCTCACATAGAAATTAAGGTGGTAATATTTTTAGGACAGAGATGGAAGGAATTAGATTTCATAATTGTCTTTGAAATCACACGCTAGATAAGTCTTTCCTCCATAAACCTGGTGCAGTGAAAGGCCAGTTTAAAATGGCCTCCTTGCCACTTTGTGTTATCAGATCCCCTGCGACATAGTGTTTTCCTCTGGACAGTCATCATGGATTTGATCATAGACAAGCACTGGTCCAAAAGAGAAATTCCTATTTAATCCAACTAGCAAATCGTATATCCTCAGTAAATGTCTATTCAATGAATGCTGCCAAGAATTCTCACAGTAATTTGTTCTAGGAGTCAGTCCCCAAATTAGGTTTAGCTTGCTTAGACAAAGATCTCCCCAGCCCTAATTTCTTCTTGGTATGACACCAGCTCTCCTGTATTTCCCTTTTTCTCATCCGTCCACTTCTCTCCCTTCCTCTCTCCTCCTTTACTTTGCCGTCAAGTTTCCCTCGGAGCCCTGGTAGTGTAGTGGTTACACTGTGTGCTGTGTTTGAAATCACCAGCAGCTCCTGGGAGAAAGACTGGGTTTTCTAGTCACATAAACACCTAGTCTTGGGAATCCAGAGGGTCACTGTGAGTCAGCATTGACTGAATGGCAGGGAGTTTGGTTTCGGTTTGAAAGTTCCCATGTATTGGGTATTCAGCATTATTTATTGTGCCTGCTCTCCTCATCTTTGCAAACTCAGCCAACTTTTCCCCACCCTAATGAGCAAGTTAATTAATTTCTTCTTAAATCTGAGTTAACAGAAACATAGAGTCAAATAAATAGCCTATGTTATAAGCCTTTATACATTAAGTGCTGAGAAAAGTCTTGCACGAAACCCCACTACCATCAAACTGATGATCACCAGGGCTCTCTTCCTTAAGTTAAAATCAAGCTCACTGCCATCAAATTGATTTCGACCCATTTAAAGTAAGACTAAATCAAATAAGAGGTTTGGGAGGAGGGTATGTGATAGGTAGGTTTATTGTGCCAACCTGGTCAATCAGAACATGTGCGATTAATCAGGTCACAGTTTGATTGGAGAGCAAAGAGATATATGGGGCTGCAAGTCCCACCCTCTCTTGTTCTGGTATCACAGCATGCTGGAGCAAGCAAACAACTGCTTTGCTTCTCTGCCTCAAGCTTGGTGCTACACTACCTGTGGGCCAGGCCAACCCTTGGTTCATTTCCCTTGGAGACCTGCTTCTTCATGCTGCTAGTACATACATTGAGTTTGAGGCTGGTTGATACCGTCACCTTGCATTACTTGTGTTGGATATCCCATCCCAGCCTGACCTTCGACCTGGCAGCCCATGTGAGTTGAAAGACTTCCAGTATATTAACTGTCCACTGAAGTGAGTTGAACTGTACCCTCTGTACTGCTGTGTGAACTAATTCGCTGTGATATTCCTCCTGGCTGTATAAACATCTATATATATATATATATATATATAATCATAAGTGTCCTGGTTTTGTGTCTGTAGAGAATCCTGCCTAACACAGGTGGGTACAGTGGTGGTGGTAAGGTAAAAGGGATACGATGTCAAGGAGTCCATGTAGAAAAAAAATGGTTGGAAACGAATTGTGGTAACAATTGTACAATTCTACTTACTTTGATTGAAATAGAAAATGATGTATGTATTAAATCCCAACTGAAAAAAAAAGGCTAAATAAGAACCATACACACTTGCTCCCACTTGTTTCCCCTGGGATCAAATTAAATTTGAAGTAAGGGAGACAGACTATCTAGGATGATGATGGATATTGAATCCTGGACTAGTTGGGTGGGACAGAGGAGCCCCGACTGAAATTAAATCAGATTTAAGACCTTTGTATAATTGTCTCAATAGATGTTTAAAAGCTATGTGATTTTAAGGCAGAGGAATTTGATGCTGATCTTAAATATTGGAACATTAACAAAGGAAGATGGAAAAACATGCTTGCTTTGGCTATAGTAGCACTAATTGTAGTAATTTTACATCAACTGCTTACTCTTATTATAATTCAAATTATTAGATATCATTAAATCGTTATAAAATTGCTCACATGCTCAAGATGGAAAACTTTTTATGTGTCCTGATAGTTACACATAGTTCCCCATGTTATGAGTGTCCAATTTATGGCAACACGTAAATTCCTGTTGTAGGTAAATTTGACCTGACTTTGAAATGAAAGAACCTCTACTCACAACAACTTCATCATAATCACCCTCACTTGCTGCAGGTGCAGCTTTTAAATCATTGGAAAGACTTCTTGAAATAAGCCCCAACTTTGGCTTTTCCTATTTACAGTTTGTGGTATTTTGATTAAAATATATAAAGGGGCTGGGCTTCCTAAAGTTTGTAGGAAAAGCTTGAAATGACAATGGCATTTGTCTGCCAACTCTTTGAAGCCCCCACATATTCTGAATTATTTCCTTCTATCTTTTGCTCTCTGAATAGATATTCTGGTCAGCCTTTCTAAAATATTCATTTCCCCTAATCCCTTTCCTTTTAAAACAGAGCAGCTTCTGCAAAGGTCCTTTGTGTTACAGAGAATTTTCCATACTCTCACCTTCACATTTTGTGGATAGTCTAGTTCAATTCATTCCTTTTGACTGTTTTTCTAATTTACTATCAATTTGGTCAACATATTTCTTTCAGGACACTGGTCAACTTCATACTCACAGTAAAATTGCAGGAGTCTGTGGCTTGATAGAACGTGTGTATGTGTGTGTGTAGGGGGGTCTAGTTTGTTTTAGTAGTACCGCTGTGTGTGTGTGTGTGTAGGGGGGTAGTTTGTTTTAGTAGTACCTCTGGTGTGTGTTTGTGTGTAGGGGGTAGTTTGTTTTAGTAGTACCTCTGGTGTGTGTGTGTGTGTAGGGGGTAGTTTGTTTTAGTAGTACCTCTGGTGTGTGTGTGTGTGTGTGTAGGGGGTAGTTTGTTTTAGTCCTACCTCACTGTTTCAGCTGATGTGTAGGAAGGGAAATTCATTGTGTGTGTGGGGGGGGAGAGGGTAGTTTGTTTTAGTTGTACCCCAGTGTTTCAGCTGATGTGTAAGGGAAATTCATCATAGAGGAAGCTGTCATCACTTGAACCTGATAATTTTTCTAAATTGTAGCAAAAATATACTAAACAAAGTTTGTACCTATTTTTATCATTAGTGATACCAAAAGGAATATTTATGCTTTTACAGATTATAAAGTATCAAATTTTATTCACAAACCTCTCAAATTTTAGTAGTAAAATGGGATTTAGGAAATTATAGAAAGCAATTTATAAGATGAAAATGAATTTTGGTATGTATTATTTAATACTATTAAATTACCATATTTCTCAAACTAGTCAAGTGGTCCTCAAATCAGGGCAAGTTCCCCCCATGCGACATATCTGGAGACATTTTCATTGTGAAGACGCAGGGAGGACCACGGCTGGAGTTTAGTGGGAATAGGTCAGGGATGCTGATAAACAGTGCATAGGGCTCTTCCCACCTCTACTCCTAATAAGGAATTATCCAATCCAGAATATCAACAGTACAAAGGTTGTGAAATTCTCAGTAAATTATATTGGAAAGAGCAAACCAAATGTCAACATATATTCGTTTGAAGGTACAAAGAAGACATTTTCTCATTTATTCCTCTAATTCCAGTGTGTATCTTCTAATTGGTATGATATTGGATGTGGAATCCATGCTAAAAGTTCTTTACATTTTCAGTCTTATTTACTAGTGGTAATTACTTCAGATGACTAAACACATATATGTGACCTCAGGGTCACTAAATCAACATGTAACTGAAGTACAAATAAACGAGAAAAAAAGCTTCCTGTTCTTACAAAATAAAAAAAACGGAGTTGAGAACCACATCATTAAAGTGTATTTCTCACTCCTCGACTGCCGTGGAGCAGATTCTGACTCATGGCAACCCCACTGGGCAGGGAAGAACTGCACTCGGGCTTTCTGAGCCTGCTGACTGGGAGGAGTCGAACGCTTCCGCTTCCTCTGGAGGAGCACCTGGCCACGTCAACTGCTGACCTGGGGGTGAGCAGCCACGTGTCGTCACTGTGCCACTAGGGCTCCATAGGTGTATTTATTGACACTAATGCAACACATAGCTAGTAAGCATTTGTAGCAAATATGAGTCTTTGGGGGAGCACGTTATAAAAATCAGTTCTCTCGAGTACATTATTGATACAAAATACTGCCTAAATAATTTCAAAAATTGAGACCTTCCTGGTACATGAAAGAGATAGAAAACATGTTTTATTATTAGCACGTGTGATCAAGATTTTAACAAACATCTTACTCCTCACAACAACCCTGTGAGGTAGGTAAACCATGTTTTGGTAACTAACTAGTATTATTCCAAATAAAGTGCAAATGCTAAGAGTCTTCACAAAGAATTAACTTGACTAAGGACACTGTTTATGTATACTTCTGTTTTGTACACTTGAATCATGCAGTAAGATGGACTCTTTTAATGATTCAGGACTCAAAACTTACGCTCACAGGTTGATTCTGTCTCACAGAGGCGCTATAGGACAGAGTCGAACTGTCCCTGTGGCTTTCCACGACTGTAACTCTACCGCAGATGCCGCCTTTCTTCCAACACACCATCCACTAGCCAACTCTTACTTAAATACACGGAGACATCACTTAAATACACTGTGTAGTAAATATTTTTGTAAGTCAATTTTTATATAAAATTTTCATAGTACTTGCTCAGTTGTATTACACACGCTTATCTATTCTACCTATTCCTCAGTAAGTTATCTTAATGTGGCACCAAATGAATGTAAGATTTAATTTTCCGAGTTAGACTTCAGCAATTTGGTACATGGCAGTGAACTGCATTGTCACATAAGTCTCCTATTGCATTTAATATCAACCCCCAAACTAAGGCAGACTATGCATTGAAATGTAAACACTAAAATAGAGGCTGATCAGTTTCAAAAAGCATTCTCCCTTGAGAAACTTGCTTTTTCTTCTGAAAGGAAGATATCTCTCAGGGTGTATATAAAAAAAATAATGGTCTGATAGCTATAAAATTTTAGTGACTTACAAGGGTAAGTAAAAAGTATTGCAACAAAAATAATAGAAACTTTCATTAAACAAAAATATCAAGATGTGAAGTTACTGTTTCTCTTTAACTTTTCTCCAAGGAATTCTGAGCTCTTCAACTTACACATCAAATGGCAGTGTAAGTATGCTCAAGGGATTCAAATATTCCTTTTCAATGTTGAGTTTTGGGGAAAAAATACGGGATCAGCTGAGGGCTGTCGGGTGGATGGGATAGGGTTTCTCACAAATTCTCATTGGACAGATCTCGTAACCCTCAGAGAATAAGCAGGTGCATTGATATGACGGGGCAAGAATTCCTTGTTGCACTTTCCTAGCTCTTTTACCAGTGGAATTTATAATGTAAAACTTCTTTAAAATAAATCCGTGGCTGTCTTGTGACCTTCAGGAAAATCTATAAAACTTTATCCCTTTTTGAATCTAAAAAACCTGTCTCCACAGCCTTCTGCATTGATCTGCCTCGAATTTCACTGGCCTAGGAGATCCTCTCAGAAGCCACTGTTTGGATTGGACTTCTTTTTTAGCAGACACCCTAACAAGAATAAGACAGGTGCAATAGAGAACTTGTCTGCAGCTATCCACGGAGCATGGAGACAGGTTTGGTTTGGAATCAAACCTTGCATGTATGAACGGGAACCCTGGTCACAATACCTGTAACTTACCCTAGTGTACTGCATATCAGAACTTCATGCTTTCAATCTATCACTTACAAGAGAGGCTGCAGATGCCACTCCCAAATGTTAGGTATTTTTTCTGTCAATACAAGATTTATATGAAAAAGGAACATACCCAAACATTCATTTTGCTCAAATATACAAAGTACATTTATATTTGCTAGTCCAACATTAGCAAATATTCAGCTACTATTCTTATGGTTGATTTATATACAAAACATTTTAAAGACAATTTTCATTAAGATTTAGTGATGAGAAATGTTTAGGATAATTAAAGAATTTATTTGAAACAATAACTTTAAGATTGGAAACTAAATTAATACTTAAAATCCACCAGCAGGTTTGTAATACTTTTGAGCAACTTGCTAAAGAAATATTCCATTATTAATAATTCTAGCCCAGAAAAAACACTCTCACCTATATTTTGTCAAACTTGCAAATCAATGGGTAAAATAAACTAATCCTTCTGCACATTGTACATTCAAATCCATACCAGATCCAATAGTGCACTTTGGATTATCGTGAGGTAAGGCAAAGCAATAGATATATTTTGAACTATTATGTTTATATAAAATGAAATATTGAGTTCTATCCAGCTTTTATTTGGATATCCAAAAGGAAAAATTTAGAATTTAAAGGACAAAGTATACTCTTGGATGACAGAATCATACAAACTCTTGACACAACAATCCAAACGTTTGAGGTACATATAAATAAAAAATACAAAACTACAAGATATATTTTATTTCAACATAAGATGATTGTATAAAAATAACCCAGGAAATATAAAAAGAAATATAAACATTTTGCATAGAGCTCCTATAGAAAACATTTACCTGGGGCAAAACACCTCTGAAACTAGTATAGTTGAATTATTTCCTTGGATACCAAGTAAACCCAAAACAAGCCCTTAACCTAGGGAGCATGGGCAGGAGGGAAACAATTTAATTTAGCATCAGTCTATATTTATTTCTCTGTTGCTCGAATATAAACCAATGATGACAAGAGAAGAAACTCTGGGGGTTTATTTAACAAAATTAAATTCACATTTCTGAGGCCATCATAGTGCATCCAGTGTCCATCAATCTGGAAAGCTGCAGAATAATGATGTTCCTCTTTGTTAAATAATGTGGCACCTTCCAATAAGTACCTGTAAAGTAAATGACAAAGTGTAGCAAAAATGTTTAATACTTCATTAAGACAAATATTCCTTAAATTCTTAACCAAGGAATTTTAAACATTTGAGATGATTTGCATTCTATTTTAAAAACATATCTACCATTATAACTCATGTACTATAATTGATAATTGGGAGCAAAATGCTCAAGTTTTTTTTAAAAAACATGTTTTAAGTGAAAGTTTACACTGCAAATTAGGCTCTACTTTCTAACAATTTTTATACAAATTGTCCCATGCTATTGGTTATAATTTTTATGTGTGTCAGCAGTCTCTTTATTTCTACTATATCTCTTCTGCTTCCACTGATCCAACTTACCTTCCTCTTCTCACTTTTGCTTTTGGATAAATGTTGACCATTTGGGTCTCATATAGTTCATTTCATACTCATAGATGCTACTATTTATTTGATTAGCAAATTTATTACTTGGATTTGAAAGGTGACCTGCAAAAATAGCTTCAATTCCATGTTCAAAAGTTACTTAGGGCAATCGCCTTGCAGGTTGTTCTAGTCTTTATTGGTCTAGTAGGTATGGCTGTTTTCAGGAATTTTGTTCTGAATTTTTCTGCCATCCTGTTCAGGACCTTCTATGGTGTCCCTGATCAGTAGTGGTAACTAGTTGTTCTGGCCTCTGGTTAGAAGAAACTGGTTCATGTGGGCTATCAGTCCTATGGATTAGTTCCTTCTTTGAGCCATTGGTTTCCTTCACTCTCTTTTGCTCCACACTAGTAGAGACCAATAGTTGTATCTTAGGTGGCTGATTACAAGCTTACAAACCCCCAAACACTTCACTAAACTGGAAGGTAAAACATCTTTTAAAACTATGCTATGCCAATTGACAGGTTGTCTCCAATGAATATGATTTTAAGTCCTTTGACCCGTAAGCCAACCCCAAGAATTGTTTGAATTTGTCTAGGAAGCCTCTATAACAATGCACACCCCATATACAGTTTAAGTATGTGTACATACATGCACACGTGTGCACACACATAAATGTGCACATTCATATGCCTGCAGGTATCCCTATACATGCATTGCATTTACTCATATATGTCTTCCTATACACGTTACACATTCAAATCCATCTACATAACCATGCATATGTTTTTTGGTGATTTTACTGTTGTAAAATTGTATTACTGAAACTGTCTTTTTTGTATTTCTTAGTGATTTTATTTACTTTGGTCAAGTAATTCTGGCTTCGTTCAGTACGATCCTTTTCCCATCAACAAAAGTGACATTTGTCTATCTAGAGAGTGATTCCCTCTACCCTTCGCTCCTCCTCCCTAGTACCCATCAATGAATGTTGCTTTCTAAGTATATCTCTTCTTGACTTCTCATAATAGTGGAACTATACAACATTTGTCTTTTTGTGAATGACTTATTTCACTCAGTATAATGTCCTCCAGATTCATTCATGTTGGAAGATGTTTCACAAACTCATTATTCTTTATAGTTGCACAGTATTTCCATGGTATATACCCAGGAGCTTCAAAAAGTCTAACAAAATTCCATTATCTTTCAATTAAATTTTTTCCAGAGCTTTTTGAACCCCCCTTGGATGTACCACAGATTATGCTTTCATTCACTGACAGACACTTAGTTGTTTCTATCTTTTTGCCACTGTGAATCATGCAGCAATGAATATAAGAGCTATCTAGGAGCGATATTGCTATATATATAGATGTGTATATATGGCAGTGTTTAGTTTTGATTTATGCGTCGTTTGACCTCTCGACTGCTACTTCCATGAGCAATCATTATGGATACAAGTAAGATGAAATCCTTGACAACTTCAATCTTTTCTCCATTTACCAGCACATGTCTGTCAAGTTTGTCATGCTGTGTTGACTTGTGTATTGCTGTGATGCTGGAAGCTCTGTCACTGGTATTTCAAATGCCATCAAGGTCACTCAAAGTCAACAGGTTTCAGCAGAACTTCCAGACTTAATAACAGACTATGAAGAAAGAATAGGTTGTCTACTTCTGAGGAATTAGTCACTGAAAACTTAATGGACAGAATCTTCTCATGTGTTTGTTGAATACCTGACTGTCCTTGCTGATTAAGTATCTGTTTATACCCTTTACTCATATTTTAAAAATTGGATGATCTTTTTGCTGTTAGACTTTTATCAGATACATCTTTGCCAAATATTTTTCCCAGTCATAGGTTCTCTTTTTACTCTCTTGATAAAGTTTTTTGATGAGGACAATATTTAATTTCTAGAAGGTTGCAGTTATCTAGTTTGTCTTGTCATTAGTGTGTTTTTAGTTTGATAAACTGTTTAGGTTAAAGAGTAGGTTCCCTAATTTTGCTTCTATGTTATCTTCTGGGAGTTTAAGTGCTTTAACTTTTAGGCTTTCGGGCATTTTAAGTTAGCGTTTATACATGTATGAGGTATGGATCCTGATTCATTTGTCTGCATGTGGACATCCAGTTCTGCCCACATCATTTTTAAAAGAGAATGTTTACTCCCTGTCAAATAGACTTTGATTTTTTGTTGAGGATCAGCTGTCCGAAGCTCTACTGCTGTTCTCATTTTCATGTTACTGGTCTATGTGTTTGCTATTGCATCAATACCATGCTCTTTTTCTTTTTAATTCCGTGGGAGTTCCCCAACAGTTTATTTCTTATTAGACACTGGAAATGCTGTAGCTCTACAGAGAGGCTGTTAAATTTGTTTGGCACAAAAACTCTCCATTTTTTCCTATTTTAAAGTAATAGTGGTGGGAGTAGTGGGCTGGTGGAGGAAAGGGGGGGCACTGGTAGTGGTCCTACTGCTGGTAATGGAAGTGCTAGTGACATCACACTTTAAAGACTACGATGTGCTTGACCCAAGCCCTGGTATTTTGTCACCTCACTTGCATGTAAATGCTGGACAATGAGTAGGAAACACTAAAAAAAAATCAATGCCTTTGAATTATAGTGCTCAGAGAGAATATCAGGCTGTTTTGATTAATATGGCTATATATGAAGTTTTGAGATCAGGAAGTGTAAGGCCTTCCTTCTACTTTGTTCTTTAATAGTGCTTCAACTATTTATTTCTTTATAAAATTTTAATTAGTTTATTTCATTAATGAATGTTGTTGGGATTTGGATCATGATTGTATTATATTTATAAAGCACTTTTGGTAGTACTGACAGTTTCATACAGTTCTCTTCCAATCCATATAATGGAATGTTTTCCTGTTTATGAGTATCTCTTACTTTCTTGCAGCAGTGTTTTGTAATTTTCCTTACATATGGCTTTTATGTCCCTAGTTAGGTTTATTCCTTTTGAGGGCTATTGTAAATTATATTGTTTTCTTGATATCCTTTTTAGTGTTCCTTAGTGAGGAACCCAAATGATTTTTGTGTGTTGATCTTGTATGCTGTCAGTTTGCTGAATTCTTCTATTAGTTCCAGCACAGTTTTTCATAATATTGTTATGATCCATTTTATCTTAGGTTATTGCTGTAATGTCATGTCATCTCTCATTTTGCTATTTGCATCTCCTCATTTTTCCCTTTGTCAATGGCCAAAGACTTGTCAATTGCATTGCTTTTTCTCAAAGAACCACTGCCTAGTTTTGATCCTATTACGTTTGTTTTCTAGTTCTCTTACTTCTGCCGCGACCTGTACTATTTTTTCTTCTAGTGACTGTGGACTCCTTGTGCTCCTCCTTTTCTGTTGTTCAGGAGGTAGGTTAAGCTGTTGATTTCAATCCTTTCTTGTTGGATGTGTGCTTTTACTTCTATAAATTCTATAAGCACTGGTTTTGCTATTTCCTCAAGGTTTGCTATTTTGTGTTCCATTCTCATTTGAACCTAGGAATTTAAATTTTTTTATTTTTAATTTCTTCTGCTACACAGTTGTATATAAGGTGTTAATCCGTTTCCATTTACTTAATTCCCCACTGGATCTATTATTTATTTCTAGCTTTATAGTGTTATGATCAGAAAAGATGCTTTGCATTATCCCAATATTTTTGAGTTTATTGATGCTTGCTTGGTGGGCTAAAATTATAGTATATACTGAATTATTTATTCTTCAGTGTTCTGCTGGTGGGTTGTGTGTTCTGTTTATTTTTGATGTGGTCACAATGGCTGATTGTGCTTGGATCTTCTTTATTTTTGTTGTTTCTGTCTAGCTCTTCTGTACATCACTGAAGTGGTGTGTTAAAGATTCCTACTATTATGATAGAATTAGCTATTTTCTCTTTAATTCTGTTGTTTGTTTTATATATTTGGGTGTTCTTGTAGGGTGTACTAATATTTTATTACAATTCTGTTCTCTGGGTGAACAGAGATTATATAATGCCCCCTTTTGTCTCTTATAGTGGGTTTTGCCTTTAAATCTACTGTATCAGAGATGGTTTTTTTTCCCCTCTGTGGAGACCATTCAAAATTTCCAGTGCCGACTATATTTCAAATCGTCACAGCGGGGTATTGGGAAAAGCTTTCAATTAGCAAAAATCGTGCCTTGGGTAAACCTCATTGGCTACAATATTGCCACTGTGCAAAGCTTTTATCAGAGATTATTACTGCCACTTTTTCCCCCCTACCTGTTTATGGCTTTGTGTCTGAGGCGTGTTTTATGCCAAAATATTGATGGGTTGTCATCTTTTTATCTTTTCTGCCACTGTGTCTCTTGATTGGAGCATTTAGGACATTTACATTCAGTTTGATTATGAATATGTATGAATTTATTGCTGCCATCTGTGTTTGTGTGATATCAATGGTTTGTTTTACTTAATATCTTGAGCTGAGTTTTTTTTATGAATTATTTTGCTTGTGTCCTTTGTTGTTGCTAAATTTGTATTTGCTGAGTCTTTCTCGTTTTCTTCTTTATTTTGGTATGGACATATCGTGATTTTCTTTGGGTTATCCTAAAATTTACCTTTATTGTCATAAGTTTATAGCTGTCGGTTAGATTTTGTTATCATCATGGCTTCCTCTCCATATACAAGTTAAATGTTGCAACAATCATTTCCTATTTCTGCCCTGGAGTTGTCATTGTCTACAGATTGAGCCCTTTGGTTCCGCTTTCAGTGGTGTAGCTCTACTTTGCTTCTGAATATTCTCTATCCAGGCTGGTTGGGGCATCGCTACCGTATGTGTCTTCATTTAAGGCAATTGTCTGATGTTTCTCTGTCCAGGACTCCATTGAATATTTCTTGTAAGGTTAGTCTGGTCTTCACAAATTCCTTTAATTTTTGTTTCTGAAAATGTCCTAGTTTACCAGAGTACTTGAAAGACAATGTTGTTGTATATATGATTTTGTCCTATAGCATCACTGTGAGCTGGAACAGACTCAAAATGGTAGTGAGTCTGGGTTTTTTCCCCCAACAGTTTTACTAACATATGATTCATATATCATTACAATTCAGTAGTTCAATCACATCAATGTTATTTTTTTCTGTGTTTTGGGATATGAAAGCCAGGATTGATGAACCTATAGGGACAGCAAGTAGCTTAAGGGTTTGGGGGGAGGTTTAGTGGTGGTGAGTGCAGGTGGGGTGGGTGTGTGGGTATAAAGGAGATGATGTCAAGGAGTCCATGTACAAAAAGAATGTCTGGAAACGGATTGTGGTAGCAATTGTACAATTCTGCTTGATGTGACTGAACTATGGAATGATTTATGTATCAATGCCCAATTAATAATCAATTAAAAAGAGAGTTGTACAATCATCATCACCACAATCAGTTTTACAACATTTTCTTCATTCTTGTACTCATCATTATTAGCTCTCCATCTTACCCTAATCTCCCCTTGCATAACCCCCAAGGGATTTATTAATCCAGTTACTGTCTCTATAGATTTACCTATCCTGGCTTTCACATAGAGAGAAACTTTAAAAACAAAAATAAAAAGAATATCAAAGTAAAACACATAAAAACTTCAAACAGAAAGAATAAAATATTAAAAACTAGAACAAATTTAAATAGAACATGAGAGATCAAACGATAGGGTGCTAAATTCTAACACTTTCATCTGAAACAATCCACTTTCCAATACATTCTGCATGATAGCAAGGCTATACACATCCCTGGTCCATGGTTAGAGGGAACTCACAAGGGGCTTAATCCATGTATATTTCACTTTGACTTTTTTTTTTTAACTGAAACAGCTTAACAGGGATCAAAAGGGAGATGAAGTGATAATACATTTTAACCTAACTAACTATGTCATCCATAATTGACTTTACAATGCTCCCTGTCTGATGACAGGGCTATTCCCATTCCTCAACTCTCATGAAAGGGGATTCACCAGATAATTAATCCATGTATGGACCCTCCAAATGGATTTTGGACTTCTATTGTCATCCACAGTCTTCTGCAAACCAGGTGTTCACAATTTAAGCTCTGATACCATCCCTTCCTTCAGATTTGGATTTTATTTTTTACAACCCTTGGATCACACAGACTGGTGTGCTTCTTCCAAGTGGACATAGTTGATGCCTCACTTAGATGGCTGCTTGTTTGAAAACAAGCCTTTAAGACTCTAGATGCTATTCATCCTCATAGGCAGGCACCATCTAGTTTCTTCGTCACACTTTGCTATAGCACCCATATCTTCAGTAATCTCTTCATGAGATCGAGCATCAAGCAAGGCCATGTCATAAGAACAAATTCTTCTTAGACCAAGACTACAATTAAGTGAAAATCCAAAATATATTCATACATCTATGGTTTATACATGTCTGTGGTTCACTTTAGAGACATCATTGTCATTTTATGTTAGAGAACATTATCAGTAACCTCCCCGGGGCATCATTTCCGGCAGTATGTTTAGTTCTGGATGATTCTTAGTTGGCAATTCTTTTCTTTCAGGGTATTGTATATGCCATCCACTGCCTTCTTGCCTATAAGATTTATGCCAAGAAATCAGAGTTTAGTGTGATTTTGTAGGTGTTATCTCATTTTTCTTCAGCTACTCAACTAATTTTTTGTCTAGTTTTGGAAATTTCATGATGATCTGTTTTGGGGATTTTCTTTGGGATTTTTTATAGGGGTTATAGAATTGCTTAAATAGAAACCTTCTTGTCTTTCAAAGTATTAGGGAAGTTCTCTTTCAGTTAGGCTTCTACAATTCTCTGGGCTCGACCCCCACTTCCTATTCTAGAATTCCACGTATGTATAAATTATGCCTCTTGACTTATCCCATGTTACTTTTAGGTTTTCTTCATTCTTTTTCTGATTGTTCCTCAAACAATTAGTATAAGGAGTTTGTCTTCTATTTCATTCTTTCTTCAAGAATTTGTATTTTTTACAGCTGCATTCTTTAACAGATTGATTTATAATCTATATAGTTCTATTATGGTCCCTAGGTAGTGCTAAGGGTTTGTGCTAGACTGCTAACCAAAGGACCAGCAATTCAAACTGACCCCCCACCCCACCAGTAACAAGGAAAAAAGGTCTGGTGATAGGCTTCCATTAAGATTATTAGCCTAGAAAATCCTACTGGATAGAGTGTAACTGTTCATCCAATACTTAACCCACTGTATCACCAGGAACACTGTAACAATAATTGTTTTATTGACAAAAGAGAAAATACACAGAAACACCTTTAAAGGCACAAAGTTTAAAGAATCCTTTGTCTTAATTTGTATGTATATATTTTATATCCACACTGATAACAACATGTTTAAATGATGACCTCCTATATAGCATATATACCATATACTACTTTGATTTGTAAAAAATACCCAGTATTGATTGACTGTTTACTTTTATGTGCTGAGTCTTATGATAATCACTTTACATGTGCAATATAATTAAATCCTCAGAATAATGGAACTAAGTATCTACTATTATCTTTCTTTTATAGGTAAGAAAACTGAGGTGGCACATTGAGTAGGTTATTGGCCCCAGAACGAACAGCTTATAAAATGAGTTGGTATATCAACTTAATTCTGTCTACTTCACTTTCCAAGCATTTAACCATTATTCATACTGTCATTTCCTGACTTCTCATCATAGATTCTGGTCCTATTCAGAATACATGAATTTAGAGACAACTACATGTCTTTAACAATATCTTTTTTAAGGGTTAGTCAAAATCATGATAGAAGAGCAGGAAAAATGTTACATTAATTTTAACAAGGATAAAAACACTTACTTGTGATCTGATAAGTCCAAGTAATAGGGTACATATGCCAGATCTTCAGATTTCCAGTGCTGCATATTTAAGACAACAAAAGGGGGTGCCCCATGGCAGAAAACTCGTTGGGAAAATTCTCTTAAGCCACCACACCTAAAATGGAAAATAGGCATGAACATTACTACAATTGGGACAAAGCTGCCTCTCAGTACTTCTAGATTATCTTTATGACTTTAATTCCCCAGAAATTAAACTCATAAAGGTAAATTTATAATGTAAATAGGTACACATAATTCTCTATTATAGTTATTGCAATGGCTTGGCTACTTATTACTCAATCTACCTATTCCCAGGAGGCCCTGGTGGCTCAGTGATGAAACTTCACCACTACACTATTTTCACTGCTGCAGGAGAATGATTTGGCGGTGTGCTTCTGTTCAGATTTAAAGCTTTGGAAACCCTAAGGGGAAATTCTATTTTGTTCTCTAGGGTCACAAGACCTGAAATTTACTCTATAGCAATGGGTTTAGTTTTGTTTGGTTTCTCCCTATTCCCAGTTTATAAATTGTAAGATTACTAGAAATGTACTTTTAAACTCTATGAAACCATTTATGAGCTTATAATAGCATACTGTCTGCTAAACTAATAAAAAAGCTTTTTTTTCTTCCATTCTCTCTTAGCTGATTTAAATAAGGAATAATGAGAGGGGAATTCAATGACTCATATTTACTGGTTAAAATCCCCTCATGCTTCCTTTGTCAGTACAATCTTCAACTAGCATGAAGCAAACGATCTTATCAGAATACAACAAAGAAAACTATACAGTAAAATCTCGATTAACCGGAATGCTCTGGGCATGATATTCTGGTTAACAAGCATTTACTGAATAAACTAAGTTAACCAGAAAATAATTTCTGTTTCACTATTTGTTACTAAAAATGTTTCTAAAATACATTAATTTGCTTTCTGAAGTTAGTACGTACAATTAACTTGAATATAGTTTAAATCTTCTCTTCTTTTATAATTAATTAGTTATAAGATCATCCTTCTACCTAAATACTCATTGTACAATGTTGTAGATACAGAAACTGTTAAGGTACTGGGTTGAATAGGTTTTGCCCCTCTGGACTTTTTGTTTTACTTTGTTAAATTTTTTGGTTGTCATTTACCTCTTTCTCCTAAATGTGGAGTGCAGAAAAAAATCCAGTTAATTGAGGGTCCCGATTAGCTGCGTTCCGGTTAACCAAGGTTTTATTGTACCTACTCAGCGGTGGGGGAAAAAAAGAAAAGGCATTTGGCTTTTTATTCATCAATTAGCTGTAGTATTTACTCTATATACTGTATTTGATATGACAACATAGCACAAAATGGTCATATTAAACTATAAGATGCCAAAGAAAACTTCCTGAAATCCTATGAGCAGTTATTTCTTAATAATATTAAGGAGTATATCAGGGCAGGCCTCTTTATAACGCAAAAATACTTTCCTTTAATGTCTGCCTGTCATATACTCACCCACGCTCTTCACACAGTTCAATCTTGGAGCAGAATAACTCATCCACAGCCAGTCGTATCAAGTTTCCATGTGGAATTTCTTGGGGAGGACTATAATTACAAAATGCATGTTAAGAATCGCTTCAGCATTGTACAGGTTAATATATTATTAGGATAAAAAATTTTTACAAATCAATCCATTATTAGAAAAATGAAGTGTATAAAGTATGATCTCTATTATTCATTTCTGTACTTCCTACGGATAGTACAGAAACCAGCTAAATTCAATAAATGTGAATGCATGATACAGTTCAAAAAACATTAAATCTTTCTGTAAACTCATCTTGAAAGATGCAGGTATGGTTAGTTTAAAAAATTTTAAAGCCTTCAAGAAATGTAATCTAGGACTCAGTCAAGAGAGCAGCTCATTAGTAACTTGACTAAATACAAGTTGCTTATGCTTGGCCTCAATTACTCATCTGTTAAACATTTTTTGTTTTCTTTCCCTTAACTAGTTTAGAAGCCCTGGTGCTTTGTGGGCTAGGCATTGGGCTGCTAACTGCAAAATCAGCAGTACTAACCTACTAGCACCTCCTCAGGACAAAGATGAGGCTGTCTACAGCCTCAGAAACCCTGTAGATTAGGGTGGCTATGAGCCAGAGTAGACTCATTGGCAGTGGGTTTGATTTTGAGGTAAAGTATTACAGAAGTTCTTTTATTTATTTTTGTGTTGTTTTTAAAATTTAATCCTTTTTTGGGGGGAGTGCTTACAGATACCATAAACAATCCATAGTTCAATCACATCAATCAGTATTGTACAATTGCTACCACAACCAGTTTCAATACATTTTTTTTCTTCTTGAACTCCTTGATATCAGCTCCCCAATTTCCCTCCCTCCCCCACAGATTTTCTTTTAAATATAGGATTAAATTAAAGACAAAGGTTTAAGGTTAGAGTACACTCCAAATATTTTAAGCATTTAAGAAAAGCATAAAGCTCTTTGGTGGTACAGTTGTTAAAGCATTTAGCTGCTAACCAAAATGTCAGCAGTTTGAATCCACCAGACAGTTGGTGGGAGAAAGATGTTACAGTGAGCTCCAGAAATAGTACAGCCTTGGAAACTCTATGGAGTACGTCTACTTTGTTCACTAGAGTTTTAATGAACTCAACTGCAGTATGTAAGATAAGCATAAATTATTATTAATTTATGTAAATATTTCATTATATAGTTTTAAGAGATATACAAAGGGACTTTTAATAACAAGATGCATTTCTGAAGCCTTTTTCAGTCCATTAGGAGCTAAGAGAACCTTTCCATCTGTACAGATTTCAAATTAGCGTTATATCAACAATACAACTTATTTCAGGTAATATATTAAATACACAACATCATTTTACTACTATACATCAATAATTAACAATTATAAATAACCAGAAAAATGGTCAGATCTTTAATGGGCAGGACTTACTAGTTTTGATCTCTTCTACTAAGGAATTTCTGATATTTAAATTGGCAAAGCATTTGGGCAGGAGGTTCAATGAAAAGCTACAGCTAAGGATATATGAAATGGCAGTATAAAATGGTTCAATTTCTGATTCAATTCATGAGAGCACACTGAGAAATTATATTCTTTTTCCATTTGTTAGCAGAAAATAGAGTATTTACTTAAGACTACATATATATTTTAAAATTATTAATTAGGAGTTAATACATGTAGCATATCATTCTATAGTTCAATCAAGTCAAGCAGAACTGTACAGTTGCTACCACAATTAGTTTCCAAACATTCTTTTTCTTCCTGGACTCCTTGGCATCATCTCTCTTTTACCCCTCACCCCTCTACCACTTTACCCGCCCCCTCCCCAAACCTTAATTCTACTTGCTGTCCTTATAGGTTCATCAGTCCTAAGTTTCATATACCTCCAAACAGAAAAACATGTAACTTCAAGAGGGTGACCTCCGAAGACCTAACACCTCTGACATATACCCGAATATGAATGAACAAAAACAAAACTACAGAACATGTTGAAAACCAGATCAGGTCCAGCTTGCACCATAGGGGGATCTACCGACAAAGTTTTAACTGTTCAGGTCATATTTATGCCTTTGATCTTCTACACTCACCTCTCCAAGGCACTCTGTTTAGTCACCTCTTTCTTCTCAGCACTCAATTGTGAACAGAGGGAGTTTATGAAGGCTTGTTTCCTCCCTGGTTCCCCCAAATGAAATGACATCCATAGTTTTCTACAAACTGGATTCTCACAATTTAGGTTCTGATACTAATCCCTCCTTCAATTTCAGATTATATGATTTACAATTATTGGTGACTGATAATGGTGTGCTTCTTCCATATGAACTTAGTTGACATCTTGCTTCGATGGCTGCTTATTTGGAGACAAGCCTTAAGGCCCAGATGCTATTTTATCTGATAGCTAACCACCATCTAATTTCTTATGTACACATTTTAGTACAATTTTAATAAAAATGTTATGTCAGATGGAACTTGAAATTCATTAAAGATTTTAAAAGAGGCTCCAAAAATAAGCTCACTGCCATTGAGTCAATTCTGAATTCCCGTGACCCCGTAAGACAGAGCAGAATTGCCTCTGTAGGTTTCTGAGACTGTAAAGTCTCACCTTTCTTCTAAGGAGCAAGCAGCCCAACCTATAACCTACTACACTACCAGGGCTCCACAGGAAATTAATAATAATATATAACAACTTCTAAGATAAATAAGCAGATACAGCAGCTGTTTTCAACCTGTGGGTCGTGACCCCTCTGGGGGTCGAACAACCCTTTCACAGGAGTCACCCGATTCATAACAGTAGCAAAATTACAGTTATGAAGTAGCAATGAAAATAATTTTACGGTTGGGAGGTCACCACATAATGAACTGTATTAAAGGGTCGCGGCATTAAGAAGGTTGAGAACCACTGAGATACAGGAAAATGACCAAAGCGCATTTCAGATAATAAAAAGGCACCGAATGAGTAAAATATTTTAAGCTTACCATGAGTAGCATATATCAAATTGGAGATGCTATAAGGGAATGTGAATCAAATAGATTATATGCTCTATATTTCAAATGGGAGCATTCTTTTAGACTATTCTGGACTATAAGCTCAAATATTCTTTCTGACAATGTGTATGGTCTATTTTTCTGTCCTTTTTCTCTTTTGATAGTAATAATCTCCTTTCAAACTCATCTCTTAAGTGCTTTGTTTCCTAAGCCTCTACTATAGAGCCCTGGTGATGTAGTGGGCTACACATGGGAGTTGCTAACCACAGCTGCTACTCCTATAAAGATTCAATGTATTTATTCAAAGTATTGGAAACCCAAACAGGTAGTTCTACCCTGTCCTACAAGGGGCACTACGAGAGGGAATTGAAAGCTGTCAGTCTGTTTGCTTTTCAGCTCTCCACTAGGGTTTCCCAGATTGGGCTCTCTCCTTATCATTTCTCAACAGAAAGGCAGAAATAGTCTATTCTTAGTATAAAAGTGTCTCAGATCGCCATCCTCATTAGGTATTATGATTCCAAGATCGAGGTTTTCAACTGTGCTCTGGCAGTGACATGAAGGGCTGGCTGTGTTCAATCTTTTTATTCCTGTGCAATTAGCCTACCAAGTTTTTCGCGTGAGGAGCTTCGTACCTGAGTGCAGTTACTTTATAAGTAATAGATCCACAAGTTCTGCTACACAAGTAGTAATCATAGAGGGGTGTGTGTGTTTAAGGTATCACTTGTTTTATTTTTTAAAAGCATACTCCCATTTTTGCTGAAAAGTGGCAGAGGAGACTTGATAAGCAACTTACTTTATAATAATTATGTGCTGCTGATCTTCCTGTACTCGAGTTGGGCATCGCCAGTTGGAACAGTAGCTCTCTTGAATGGTAGACATGAGATTATCAAGATTTCTTGTAAAATTATCATGCTCATTCCCAAACAAATCAATTATTAATGAAGCTTTATGAACTTCAGATTTGTATTGCTGTTTTTCCATCTTGTCCCAAATCCAAAGGAGCTTCACAGTTGTGAAACTGTAGGTGTCCATTAAATAAAGAAAACAGTCTACAAACTCTCTACCTAAATGAAGAGAGAGTTCCCTGGGGAAATTTTCATTTTCATTAAGAATGACATACAGTAACATCAAGAAGCCATCTATGGTGCAGGTATTTTTCAGTCTTATTTCAACATAGAGTGGTGTACAGGATACTGCTTTTCGGCCAGCTTTGATAGTAAAAACACCTCCCCAAGGAAGAACAGGCCTCCAAAATGAGCGATCTTGATTATAGTTATTTTTAATTGATGCTTTGATCTCTTCAAACAGTGTCTTCATCCTGAATTTTAAAATAAAACACATTAACTTGTGACTATGAATGTTATAAATGGGTGAAAAGTTTAAATGAACATAAAGCTATCTAAAGATTTAAACTAAATTTATTTACATATCCTCTGAAAGTAACAACATTTTTTTCTTCAAACAACTCATTTTTTGGGCAGTCCGTATGGGGCACACCATTTTAGAAACTGCAAACTTTTTGAGAATGGTCATCTGATGGACCATTAGTTGTTAGGATATAGGAAAAGCATGTAGTAAAAATCCTACACAAAAACAAACTTAGAGATATGAACTAAATTTGGTTAGGTGTACTCCTAATGTTAACCTCTTCACCCCAAAACATATGCTATACCTTATTTTCTGGCTAAAGGGCTCCTATTTAAGAAACTGAGAATATTATAATCCTTACTTGGAGAACAGACCAATGGCCATTTACTATATTTATATTAGTTATACTACACATTTTATGGGTGGTATAACTAATTCTGGCATTTAACTTTGAAAGTAATTGTGAGAACTTAACTGAATAGTAGCATCCATAATACAAAAAGCACTTGTACTGACTTTGGAACTTGCACTTATTAAGCATGGTAGCAGTAACCAATAATGTAAACTACAGAGGTCATGATATGAATGTTTCAGAACTTAATATTCTGATTTTTCCTTCTGTGTTTGGCTTTGAGCTAAAGTGACTTCCCCCTCTACACTGGCAGGCACTTATCCTTACCCCCAGATTGAAGTGAGCTCATTAATCATTATTTTTTAAGCTTTGACAGTGCTTCAATAAAAATGATTGTGTTCATAGCCTCCTCCCTGGGGGACAGACAACAGAAAAGAAGGTGAAGGGAAACGTCGGACAGTGCAAGATATGATAAAATAATAATTTATAAATTATCAAGGGTTCATGAGGGGAGCAGGGAGGGAGGGGAAAAATGAGGAGCGGATGCCAGGGGCTTAGGTGTAGAGCAAATGTTTTGAGAATGATGAGGGCAATGAATGTTCAAATGTGCTTTACACAACTGATATATGTATGGAATGTGATGACTTGTATGAGCCCCTAATAAAATGATTGGAAAAAAAAAGAAATAAATCAAATCATTGTGAATGAGGGGGAGCACAGAATGGAGACCCAAGACCCATCTGTAGGAAACTGGACACCCCCTTACAGAAGGGTCATGGGGAGGAGAAGAGCCAGTCAGGGTGAAGTGTAGCAACGATGGAACATACAACTTTCCTCTAGTTCCTAAATGCTTCCTCCCCCTTCTCCCCCACTATCATGATCCCAGTTCTACCTTGCAAATCTGGTTAAACCAGAGGATGTACACTGGTACAGATAGGAACTGGAAACACAGGGAATCCAGGACGTATGATCCCTTCAGAACCAGTGGTTAGAGTGGTGATATGGGAAGATGGCGGGAGGGTGGGGTGGAAAGGGAGAACTGATTACAAGGATCTACATATAACCTCCTCCCTGGGGGACAGACACAGAAAAGTGGGTGAAGGGAGACGTCGGACAG